GATAGCCCTCGTGTAGCTTTGAGCGAAATTCGAAACAAACAAACCTGGTTGATTTTTAGTTTTCATCCAATTACGTAGCTTGCTTTGATAGGAAGTTGATAATGGTTTGGCACAAATATGAACAACAGGAACACACCTTTAAAAAAATAGCATGTCTATTTCTCCCACTGGTTGGTACCGACCAATTTAATAGGGGGTCCTGTTCATGCATGACTTTACAGGATCTTCACGTTCTTTTTTTTTTTGTATGACGTGCTTAAATGATCGAAGTTTATAACAGCCATGACGATCTCATTTCAGATCAGGAAATATTTCTGTTTCGATGTGATATTACAAAAAAAAACTATACTCGCAAAAGGCGAAGAACTCTCGACATGAAAGTTAGGAACAAAACCTTAATAACCGAGCTTCACGTTGAAAATGAGGTTTCCGATTTCTTTTTTAAAATAAAGGAAACTTCTTATCACGTTTGTCATTTAAAAGAACTTTTAGGTAAAGAGATTGGTCGTATACTATAACAGAAGGTAGAAAAAAAAACCGCTGGCTAAAGACACAATATTCTGTTTTGAACTACATCAAGTGAAATGTGACAAAATCTTGTCGTAATAATATGATATGCAAAATGTGAATACCTCATAAAACATGTTTGTTTGTTTTGAATACTTGCACACAGCTACACAAGGGCTATCAGTGTTAGGCGTTTCTGATTTTGAATTAATATACGAGAGAAACGACAGTCAGTCAGCAGCGCCCACCGCTACTCTAACTGACCAGCGAGATTCTAACATCATTCTTATAAATCATCAGGGCCCTAAAGAGCATAATGCGATTTTGCAGCAGTGAAAAATCAACCAAAGACATTCAAATTCATAGACCGACACGCTAACCTCTTGGACATGTTCAGCTTCACAAAATACGAAGTATATTGTATAATTTTATCCATGAAGACATGGTCTGTTTGCCTACTTATTTTCGTATATCGTTTAATAGCTCAAACAAATTTAAGGGTTTATATATATATATATGATTTTCTTGTACCTGAGACATTTTTTGCAATATTACCATTATCAAATAAACAATAAATGTAATATATCTTACTAGATAGAATATAATCCTGCATAAAGATTAGAATAAAAAATTGAAATTTGAATAAAGTAAAAAAACAATATCAAAAATGGTTTGATGTCTAGTGTAACTATTTTCGGATTTTCTTTTATACGCCCCCCCCCCCCATCCCCAGTGGCACAGAGGTATTTCTGCAGATTTATACCGCTAGAAACCGGTTTTCGATATCCATTGTGTAGCTTTGTGCTTAATAAGAAATTATGTTGTTTCTTGTGGGGGTACTTAATAACAAACAACAACTTTTATGTGTATATTAAAATACGTTGTGGCTTATTTTTGTTCAACTTGATAAAACATATCTCCATATAGTTCAATAATTTGACTATTTTGGCGACATATGTAGTAAGGTAATTAACTATTTAAACCTGTAGCTGACCAGTAATGGTGAAAAATTCTTACCATCAAAATACGATGTAAAACTATTTTTTTAATTAATGTAATGACTTTCTTTTAAACAATAAGATAAATTCTTAAACTGAAGTGCTTGTATACATATATTATCTATAGATCATTTATATTATATTTATACTATAACTAGAAGCGACTGATAATATTCAACATTATTTTAAGAATTGGCATTGTCAAATTACTCAGAAACAGTTCCTCGTTTTTTAATAGTAGAGACATCTTTTTTGTTGTTGCCCAGTGATTTAACAACCCTGATTTATATTAGAAGCCAAGATCATCAAAAGAAAGAAAGTTCTGAAAATACACGAGATTCATGAAATGCTTATCGAAATGCTATCACAACGAAAAGCACCACTGAAACGAACTCCGATGAATAGACACTTTGTCAAACTACTAAGCTACTGTAATGTTTAAGATTTTTTTATTTTACAAATAAGGTTAAATCAACCAATTGAAGATGATGACAGATGAGTTACAACAATAACCAACCTTTCAGTGTCTATATAAACTATGCTGACCATAAGACGAAGGGCTCAATAGTTCCTTGCAGAACTCCACCATGGTTTTATCCAAAACAACAATTATGACTGTAACGTAGTTTGAATATTTGTTCATTCTGAAGAAGATCACTACATAGAAGGAGAAGAATGGATGAGTTTAGATATAACCAAAATACAGCTGTAGTTGGAGGCCAAAATGATAAAAAATATCATCCAAAAGCAGATGATTAATAGTTGTCTGGGAAAACCTGCTTTCCATCGTTCTTTTGAAACTTCTGAGACCTAAATATGTATATAATGTAGATTCTACATTTGTCTATTTACATGTACATTTTTCTACTTCTTGTTACTGTACATAACTGCATCATTAATGTAACAGATACAGTATAACATACAGCCTAGTTTTTAAAATCTTATGATAGCTTTAACATGGCATTTATCGTATCGATATTTTTGTGTAAATAATGCGTTTAATGGGTTTCTTTTCTCATTATATATATATAGCGTGTTTTGAAGAGAAGTTTATATATATTTTCTGTTACGTATTTATAAACATATAAGAATTTTTATAATGATTGTGAACACTCTATAAGACAACTGATTTATATACTAGAAAACCTAGATAATTGTATGGAAGGTCAACTGAACCATGTAGTGACCGTTCGTTGTACGCCATGGCTACAAGAAATCGGCAATCAACTACTATTAACTCAATAAGGGCTTTAGATAGTAACTTGTATGGCCATTACTAACAATATGGCAAGGAACAGACTTAATGGGTCCAACTTATGGTCAAGAAAACCTGTTTTAGATCCATGAATGACTGCACATCAATACACCTCTTGAGTTAAGTCACTGAACGTGGTGGTTCAGTTGTGGTGTAGGTAGAGTATTCAGATCTTGTTACGCCTGCAAGGAGTAGATGAACTTCCAGATATACTTACGTGCATGGTTATAACAGGCTCTTCTTGTCACTTCATGTCCACTAATCTATGTAGGATATTTTAACATCTAGGAAAAGTAAATCGAAAAAAAGGATGATTAAAAATAGAACATCGTAATCAAAATTTCTAGAAAAACAACAGCAATAAAGGGGGGACTGGGAGGTGGAGGGGTTCTGGACCTCATTAGCATTAACTAATATCCCACAACATTTGGTTGAAATTAACCAAGTTTTTCACATTCATATGTTTTCATATAGTCAATAAAAGTTAGCAATTTACTTTTTAATTGTTCTTGATAATACTTTTTCGTTAAATTTCTGAAAATTAAACCTTCTTGCATCATCACTTTTGATAAAGTGCGTGGCCAACCCTATTAGATACTCATTAACAATGGATGGTTTCTGGGTTTC